GCAGGGACACACTAGCAGAAACAAAACAAAAAAACCCACAAAAAAGTCAGTGGCACAGATTTAGTTCTAAAGGATTAACTGCCAGCAGGGACAGGCACAGAATGATGAACCAAGGCTGGCTAAGCTCCATGGTACTTTCAGCTGCGTATCAAACTATTATGCACAAAAAGTCAGGACAAGAAGCATGCCACATCGCTCCAAAAGCTGAAGGAAAGAGAAACTCTTAACTATTTAACAGCTAGGAAACACATGGCTCCCCCAGCAGTCCTAACACTTCAGAACAAGGCTTGGCTGCTTGTCAGCCCCTGAAAGAATTTAACCCAGCTGCTCCTTTATTAGCAAACTCCCCTGCCAGGACCATGGCACAGCACAGCAGTAAGCTGCACACAGCTTTGTTCTTGCAGCTTGAACAACCCTGTTGTTGGCTACTCCTGCAGAGTACAGTGAAATATGCTGCAGAGACCTGAAAGCAGCTGTGAGCAAGCTAGGTTGGAAACCAGAAAAGACCATGCTAGTGCAGAAATAATCTCAAGCCAGCACATGCAGCTTTTCTGCAGGTCTCATTTTGGGTGCAGCACCAGCTCATTGGCACAAAGCTCTAAAGCGGGGGGAGCCTAGGAGTTACTCTATACAACTCAAATACTGAGGTAAGCAATCATTTCATCCTAGCACAAAGATCAGATAGCTCACAATAGTTCTCAACCCTTCCAAGCTGGTAGAATCAGATTCTAAGAAAGTTCTTGCAAGTCAAAGAAAAACAAAAATAATCTGTAACTTGATACTACACTATTAATAAGTAAGCTTTAATGGTATTTCTACAGTACAGAGTTCCCAGCTGATTCTCATGACACAGTTAGTGGAACACAGTGTTCCAGCTAAGTTAGGAAAAACTAATTTCTAAATTCAGATTTAGAAATGGACACATAGCCCTCTCAGCTTCTCTCATCCTAAAGTGGTATGTGAATTTAGAATGAGTCTGGAAAAGATATCTTTGTTAGATATATAAAAAACATGATGAAGTCTGTCACAAAAACTTTCAAAAAGCTTGCCAGAATTTGACTCCCACTAAATTAAGTGCAAATATTCTCTGACTTGTTGAACTAATGTTAAACGCTCACAGTTTTTGAAAGTCATTTCCAATTGCTCACCTTAATGCAATATGCTTCCCCTCAATACAACAGAAAGAAATGCAGGCAGCCATTGCAACATTCTCACCCCAGACCTGATAAGGTATGTAAGCATCCATATATTTTCACCTGTAACCCAGTTCTGAGCAGGTGAAATTCAGCTGGGAGCAGCCCCTGGTCATTTAGGGGATTTCCACCAGCACACTCTATCTGTATCCAGATACAGAATCAATATACAACAAATAGTGCTGGGAACAACTGTTAATATGAACTCACCTTACAAACCAAAGAAGCTGTAGTAGTTTTACCAACTCCAGGTGGTCCAGAAAGTAATGCTGCTTTAAAACCAGTGCCATCATCCTTGCCTCCAGGTTTATTGGTCTTTGCTATAAAATAAGATCCCAGGTTTTACCTATGTACATATTACAAAACAAACTGCATACTTAATGGAAATCTTTAAAGGTACCAAACATCACTGCAGTTTTTCCTCATTTAAGGCCTGGTATCAGTATCAAAAGATGCATGCACATCTGCATCCTAACCACTTGGGGGAAAAGAAGCTTAAACCACCATAGCTTAAGACTTGCAGTGATTCTAAACTGAAAAACACTGAAAAGGCTATTAATGTAATACAACTACAATGTGTTGTAAATTTCAGCAGTTTCCTCACAACCACATCATTAAGAAAACCAAAAATCAACCCACCAACAAAATCACCCCAAACAAACTAAACCAAACCCCAGACATACCACATGACATGGGATGCTTGTCAGGCAGAACCAGGACCTTAACAATTCATCTCTTCCCCCTGCATGACGGCACCCCTTTAGATATGTTGCTGTCCTGTATTTTCACCATGTGTACAGACAGGTTAGCACTGGCCAATATTTGTCTCAGTGAGAAATAATTCAACAGGCTGAATGTGGGGTCATTTTTATATATATTACTGCTACGTTATTTTGGTTTCTTTTGGGAAATAAATCAAATTTAAGAAACTACCATAAGACTTAAAAAAATATTTTCAAGCACAGTTTGCTGTTCTGTTTTTTTGGGGGAGAAGGTGGTAAGTGAACAACTGCTTCAACAAAAAACTCAGCCTTAGCTGCTGCTAAAAATGAATCTAATTGCAGCCTCATTCCCGATTTCTAGTCGCTCTGCTTTCTCAAAGGCCCTTATCAATCCAGGGAACCACACAGTGTGATTGGCATGGAAGAACAGAGAGAAAAGTTAACTGCACTGGTCACCTTGTCCATCTTCTGAAGTATTCTTGTGCCAATTTCTGAGCCATCGGAGCAGTTTATTGGCACAGCTTTGCTCACCCTGTTGTCCAATTATTGCCTTAAGAGATGCGGGCTTGTATTTATCTACCCATAGCAATCTCTCTGTTCCATCGTCATTAATCTCAGAAACCAAGCTCCTCTTGGGTTTTGGGACTTCTTTCTCCTCTACAGCTTGCCATTTAAAGTCCACAAGCTTCCGAACAGCAGTGGTTTCTTTCTTAACAAATTTGGCAGGATCTCCTTTTTCAGGAGTAGACTTTTTTTTGTTATCAGTGTCCCTTTTGAAGGGGCTAAAATTCCTTTTTCCAGCTTCAGCTTTCTGTGGTGTCTTTTTAGGTCTTGACTCCGCTTTCTTTGCCTTAAGAAAGTAAAGGTAAGAAAGTTAAAGGGAAATTAAATAAAAATATACAGTAAATAAACATGCTGTCTTTGAACACATGTACAGGAGTGCTTAAGAAAGTAAGAAAGCTTATGTATTGATAAAACACTACAAGAGCAGATAAATAAATATTTCTTTCTGAAGAATAAACTATTGTTAACACGATGCCACCTGGTTCTGTAGCAAAACCAACAAGAGAGAGGGAAGAAATGCTCTGGTCATTCTAAGAGCAGTCCCCTTACTCACCAAGCCTAATGCATCACTAAAAAAAAATACCGCAAAACTGACGACTGTCAGGTTGAAAGAAATGGGCCATCAGACACCCATGAAGCTGAAGCACAGCTCTCACAAAACACCACTTCCAAGCTCAAACGCTTAAAAAAAATAACACTAGGAACACGTAGATAAAAGGAGGAGAAACAGGTAATAAACCCTTCTTCCCATAAGGGAACTTTCCTCTCAAGCACAAACTTTTAAAGAAGAGACACAGTTATTTAACAACCAAAAACACCCCCCAAAAAACAAACCACAGCCCCAGAAAGTGTTCAACCCAAAACAATTCAAAGCAAATTTTAAAAAATTAGCTAGTAAGCCTAGAGTTGCTTTTCCTTAAGACACCAATAGTATCTTTACATGTAACAATTCATGTCTAGCCACATCAGAAGTACCAAAGCAACATCTATACGGAACCCACAACATGCTAGAGCTAACAGAAGTTTTAATACATTTTTTCAGACTAAATTTAAATGTGCATAAAAGACTTGATACTATTTTTACATTATTCCCTGAAAAATCTGCCTTGAATATTATTAAAGTACCATATAAAAACAAAATCTGTTATGTATACACATGGTTTACACATACCTGTCCCATGTTTACAGTACCATTTTTTATTGGGCCTGTCTGGGTACCACACAAGATCAGTCATGATTACTTATTTCAAAGAAAAAGCGAATACTCAAAGTTTAAAACTGAGACCATTGAAGGAGATACAATTATTTTCTCAGTCAGATACTTAAAATACAGAGTAATGTCAGAATAAAAATGAAACAGGGGAGAAAACCCTATTGCTCCCAAGTAGAAGTCTTATACACAAATATAAAATTTTGATTTTCCATACCTCTTATCCTAGAAGGTCAAACTGACAATCATAGGGCTACTGTTACTGGAACAGAAAGCCAAAACTCCTTTCAATTAAAAACAAACCAAAGCAAAACCCAAAAACATCCCTTGAGTTTATAATAAACAAACCTCTGTTTCAGCTGCCAGCTCATATTTGGACTTTTTCCCTGGCATAGTTCGAATAAGATCAAACAGGCCATCCTCATCAATAACTTTTGTCCCTAAAGCTGATGCCTGGAGCAAAATAAGAATTAAAAGTAAAGTGAAGTTAGGAGTTACATAATTCACTTCAAAGTGTTTTCCAGTAAAGACTGTTTAGGAACACAAAAACAGCAAGGGTTTTTTTTACATATATATGTGTGTGTATACATAGAAATAAAAACAAGAAAAAGCCCTAAAACACATGGCAACTTTTCCTTTTTACTATAATAATACTTTATTTGTAGTACTGCCTTCTTTTGGTAGGCACTGCAAATCAATACAGTTAGATATGAACAATTCACAGGTTCACTTCTACTTCGCTCAGGCACAGGAACACTCACCTTCTCACATTTAGATTGGCCACAATCTCGCCCCATAACCAGATAGTTTGTCTTCTTGCTGACATTGCCAGTTACTTTTCCTCCATAACGTTCAATCAGAGACTTGGCCTCATCTCTTTCAATGCACTCCAGAACGCCTGTAATTACGAACGTCAGGCCTTCCAAGCAGTTTTCAGCCCCCTGAGAACCACAGCATTGCAGAAAATGACATTACCTGATGCAATCCTATTGCATACCTCTTCACCATAGGCTTTTTTAACCTTCAACCATGTCAAGTACCCTACCAAACTTTTAAAAGAAACCCTGTCATACCCAGCTAGGTAATAGTTCTGTAAATTCAAAAGCCCTTAAAAGGAATAGCTACCAACGAAACTTCACACATTGTTTAGCTGACCAATTATACTTGTAACACCCTGTGCTTCAAGCAGAACATGTCAGTCAAATGAGTGACAGCAATCTTCAACACCAGTAACTATTTTTCAACATCATGACTTCATAAACCAAGTAATGAATTTAATTTCTTAGTATTTATTTTGTTATATTTAGTTACTGCTTTGCATTACAATTTAGCTTTTTCTGATACATATTTCCTATTTGAAAAAAATACCAGTTTTTAAACAGTTGAGCTGATATTTGTTAGATCACATATAACAGTAAGTCTCTGACACACTCCATTTCTACATATAGAATTCTGCTGTAGCCAAACTTACCTGAGGTATCTCTTTGGAACCCAGAGCTTTTGGACCCTCACGATTGAGGAAGCTTCGGTAGGCTTGATAATTGATTCGCTTCTTTTCAGAGTCCTCAGGACTTACAGACTTGAGCAGGAGGGAAAAATGAGTACACTTATTATATAAAACCAACAAAATAAAGTCAAGCATCACAGTTTAATAAATTTCATGCACCAAAGAAAAAGTAAATTCTAACGCTTGTAATCTATGAACATGCAATACCAAAGCTTGCTCTGGTTTTGGTGCTTGCGTTTTGAGGTATTTTCTGTTCTTCTTTTTAAAAAAACTCACTCGGGAGTTTAAAAAAAAAGCATACCCATTGTTTATTGTCAGACTTCTGTAGATTCACCTGTACTACATACATACACTCTCCCTTAATTCATAAATTATTGCTTTTAATTCACATCCTATTTTATTCAGGAGGATGATCAGGTATAGACAAGATCTACACCTACATAAAGTCTACTTTGCAGTATTTCTAAAACACTTAAATGTCTCTTAAAAGCAATCAATAAAAGGTTATTTAAAAGTCATCCCAAAAAAAAGTTGCAGGTTCTCCCTCCCAATTACAACTGTTAGGGTCAAATTTGGATATTTTGTACTTTAAGTTTTAAACCGTATGTTTTGAGGTTGCCAATAACTGCCAGTGCAGCCAATAATTACAGTTACTGAATCAGACAGTTAAAAGAAAACTAAATTATATACCTACATAATATATCAGCCATAAGAAATATACTTCAGAAACAGGAGGCAAGGGAGGGAGAAGGAAGGCGGGGGGAAAACCCAAACAATGCTATTTATCATTCTAACAGCAGTACAGATCCACAACGTCACCACGCTCATATAAACAGTAAGCTTTCGCTCACTAGGTTGTATCAGAATTCCTGCATTCTGCATTTCGTCAGGAAAGTTAAAAGTGAAAAAGCACTGTACTGATTTTGCAGTGTACACGTATACCTTAACGAGTATTAAAGAACTGTCAGTTCCTTCATGCATTTGATTTACACTTTTCCAGATACTTTTTTTCCTATACTTTTACAATTGCTAGAAACTTAAAGCCTTACCAGAATTCGAAGTCTTAAAAATTGCCCAGAAGATTCAAAGTACCAAGTTACAACAGTGACACATAAACAATAAATGAAAACTGTTTTCCTGCCAACAGCACCAAGCCAACTAAATTAATTTTGATAGCTCCTACCTCAATCTTCTTGGGAGAAATCTTCTCCTTCTTTGGTGTTGTCTTCTCTTCTTTCCCTGAAATAGTTTTTTCTTTTGATACTAAACTTTGAGCACCTCTTTCCTTTTCAGCAATCTCTTCTTTTTGTTTCAGAGACAGAAGCTTAGAGCTAGGTTTCAAAGGCAAGGTCTTGTCCGTCAACTCTCTTGCTATTTTACCATCGGATGATTGTGGGGATAAATGAGACCCTTTCGAATGTTCAGATTTAGTCTGCTGCTTCGCAGTGTAATTCTTTCCTTCACCTGTTGAGTTTGTTGCTTTCACTTGAAAGAAGGCAGAGGGAAGAGAGCACACATATAAGAATATATCTCATTAGTATTATAATTGCTGAAATGTTTCCTGTATTCCATGTCCTACCTCTTTCCGACTGCTTATATCTTTCTGTTATGTTAGGACTGCTCTTGATGCTCAATATGGTTTGTTCTCCTCCTGAATCCTTCCGAGCCTAAATAAACAAACAACGCCCAAGTCACAGATGCATGTCCCAAGCTACCATTAAGTCCAGATCCCCGAGTTTCTCCACTGTTAAGTACAACAGACTGAATGATACGTAACAAAGCTTATCTCTACCACAAGTCAGAACACAATCTCTATCAAAGGCAGGCAGATGAGCAAATTCTGCACGTCATCATTGCTTAAGTCAAAGGCCAGAGAGACTTCCAGGTTACAGCAAATTTCGATCCAAATCAGTTTACTGATGAGTCTAGAAGTATTAATACTTGATATATTCAAATTAGCAATCCTAAGAGCCTTTATGAACAACCCAGAAAACATTTCACTTTGCCTTACGCTGCAAGGTATGAATACTGGGAAGACTCCCACTAATGGGGTTAGTCTCAAAACTCTCAGGAACCCTGCTTGTCCCTTCTCTCAAAGCAAGGAGAGTATTCTCCTTCTTCCTTTCTCTCCCGTTACTTTTCACCAAGTTGTGCCATTGACTCATTTTACTTGATGTGGTAGATGATCTAAAGCATGAGTCTTCAGCAACACACTTCACTCCATTAGAACTAGAACTTAAAATCCCATGCCAACAGAATCAGATAGCACAGATGCAATGATACCTGCTGTCTGATTAGGAAGGGCACTTTAGTCACTAAATGATGAAAATCCAGGAGGAAAGTATGAAAAGCATTTATGTTATTTTCATGCAAACACTTTCTTGCTGTATTTAATACACTTCCATTGAAGTCTCAAAACAAAGGTTACATATCTAAATAAGAAAATTCCCAGCAATGCAATTTCTAAAAATTAAAGTTCAAAAAGAATTCAACCTTTTTCTTCTGTGGTGTTTCATCCAACATGGCCAAAGTTTTAGCAAATTCTTCATCTTCATGCAGCTGTCTCTCCAGCTGAAAGAAAAAAAAATATTTTTAGGCTCATGTCTGACAAGTGTTAGTTGTACTATAATTTTTTAAAACTTCATTTGCTGTTCAAGACAAAAAGTTTATCTAAAATAACACAGCACATAGCTAGAAAACCAGAGGCAAATAGATTTCTGAAAATGGCACAGAAGAATTACTTGTTTCCCCAAAAGAGACTGAAGTCTAGTGAGAAAAGGAAAGTTTGTCCTTGTTGTACCAGAAGCATTAATAAGCCTATATAATCTGTTTTCAAAGAGGTTTCCTGTTCCTTCCTATTTTTTATTGTTTATTAAATGAAAAGGAAACAACAATCAAAACTTGAAGGCAGGATTTCACAACACCCAGCTTGCACCCAGATGCAACCTATTGGCTTTGGAAAACTTCCCAAAGTAGTCCCGAAAGATAAGTAGGAACAATGCCTGTTAAGTATTACAGTGTCTCAACAATGAATGTTTATTTTCGTTTACTTCTAGCAACATATCATATGAAAAATAATTCTGGCAGTTTGGAGAATGGCCCTTAGGCCAGCTCTTGTTGCCAGTTCTGTTTGCTTTACAGAAACAAATATACTTTAAACTTTTAATATTTCTACTTACACAACTGATTTTCTTTGACAGAAGAACCAGTAAGAACAAATACTGCACATGGAATCTAAGAAAGTTATTTATTAATTGTAAAAATTGCTCATCTTAGCACTGATTCAAACAGGAAAGTTTACCACACACACGTAAGAGTCATTCACATTTTTCTCAAATATAAGAAAATTCAGATGACAGTAAGTGAAACAAACCATGGATGGCAATGGCTTTTAATTTTTCCACTCCAAGGAATAAAAACAAAACACACCACACACCAAAAAACAAACTCAAACAAAAAGCAAGATGATTGTAGACACATCAGCTGCACAGGTAATGAGAGTCTGGATAGATGGCAAATACATCACGTGAGATGTTCTATTTACATTAACTGAAATAATACCCATAAAAATAACTGTGTGCCTATGTTTACACATATGTACAACAGTTAAGTACACAGGTGAATTTTATTACACTTATTTATAGCATGTAAAGTCCATCTTAAAATTGTTTTTCCTTAAGAAATTAAGTTAAACAAACTGCTCTTGGCATAGAGCAACAAATTATAGAGCTTTTACCTCTGAATCTTCTTCAAGCTGCAGTTGCCTAGCAATGGCCTCATCATCTACTGTGCTGTCTCTGCTTTGTGAAAGCTATATTTAAGAAAAAAAAATACGAACAGTTCAAGTTTCCCCAATATTGTGTACAATTATAATAATTTCACTTGCATGGATTCATTTTGTACACTTCTAGAAAACGACTGTGTATGAGACGCAGCATTTTATTCCTAGCTCTCTAAACACTATTGAACAAGGCTGCTTTCAAGACATTCTACTATTCAAAACAAAACCATGCTATAGTATAAATATCTCATTTCTACAAACAATGCTGAACATCTCTGAAGCTATCACAGTCAGCCAGCTTGAAAGAGAAACTGACTACATTGTGAATTTTTAATTTCCTCCATACTTTATTTGGTGCTTTGTTACTCCATGAATATATGTGCCATAAAGCTTGGGAAAACAACCTCCTTCCTCTCCCTGCTGCCCTCTGCCCCAACTATAAGCTATCCCATCCACTCACTAATATCAGAAAACTACTTAATTTTAAGAAGGCACTTGAGAAGAAACAAAATACTACTTTCAACTTTGTGCTATCTTCTCAAACATGGAAATGCTATTCTAAAATTGCATTTGAGACTTGATATGCCTGCATATATAATCATAATTAAACCTATACTTGAGTGGTTACTAAGAAGTAAAAGTAAGTAGGATAAGCAGTTAAGTACTTCCTTGCAGTCACTAAACTGCCATTTTGATCTCCTGTCAGACACACGAGCAGCCTAAAAGAACATCATCAGTACTCACTTCTTTCCTTTTACTTGCTACCAGTTTCTTTTCTGATCGTTGGACACTACTTGTCCCAAAGTAATCAAGTGCCGAGGTGAGAGTCTGTTTCACTGGAGATAATGGTTTGCTTTTAGCTTGTGGTTTTACATCCTTTTTCACTGCAGTTGTTCCTGGACAACCGATCACTGATGTCCCATTCTCCTTCGGTTTCAGGGAGATGCTTTTATTGACAAAGTCGTCATCTTCATCTAAACATGAAGAGTATTCTATTACTTCTGGTACATGGAACTTAAGTTCTTATAATGGAACTGTCAAGAGAACCATTCTGGCAGATTATACAGACTCAGATCCCAAGAAAATATTACAGGTGTTTATTAGTTATTTGGGGGGGGAAGGTAGAGTTGCATAACACATAATATTTATCATCTTTAACAGCACAGCTCAGGTCTGAATAGACTGAGTACTATATTAAAGACACCAAACTTGTTAATTGTGTTCATACATCACCTCTCATTTAGAGAGGTTCACAAAGAATGCCTTCCCTCCTTATATATGGGAGATGATAAACAGAAAATCTAGGTCACTGAAGTTTGATCCCTTTCCTTAATCAATGCAACATCAAATTGAACAGCACAACTCTTCCTTCACATAAAATGTGAAAAAAAAAAGCTACATTGATTTTATTACTTTATCGTATTCATTAACAGAGCAGCTAATACAGGCTTTGTACATTTGTATATTCTTAAGAATCTCTCAATATTACAACATTCTAATATTTTCCCCTGGTTTATAGTATATTTACAAACAGCCTCTTGACTAAGCTTCCCAGTTATTTGTAAAGTACTGCTCATAGCCATTTCACAGAACACAGAAATCAGACAAGAGGTCAGCATACAAAACAGATTTTTCAATTTAAAAGGAAAAATGGCATACAGAGTTTCATTAATAATTAGCCCACAGACCACTGAACAAAAACTCAACCTATCCTTTTAGGACTCTTCTACAATAGCCAGGACATGGTCTTCCCAGCAATGAAGACTAGAAAGAGGGTTCGATGGCCATTTATTCATTCTGGACCCAAACTCTTCACTCAGTCAATCAACAAAAAAGGTTACCAAGGACTTCAAAGAGTTTTGTGTCATGTTGTGAAGTGTTACTGACAGTTATACAAATGAAACCTTATCACTAAAGCATTCAAAAATGTACAGATGTAATTGCCAAATGATGAGATTAATATGACAGCATGGAAGACAAACATCTCGGGACAAACTTCCTGAACAGTGATAAAAGCACTTTCTTTGTGAAATCTTCTAAAAACTCCAAGTGTGCAAGGTCTAAGAGGCAGGCTGCAAGAAAATGGCTAAAATGAACATTAGACACAAAACTAATAAAGGACAAAGACTTGAGAGAACAGAAACAGAGGCCATCTCATTTGCATGCCTCTAACTGAAGTCTGGTTTCACTTTTCCCAAAATAGAGACATTTCAGACACTCCCCTCAACATATCATGTTGACACATGAAACACAGAATGTCCTAAACATCTGCTTTATAACTGAACTTAAATTGTCAGTATTATCACAATAATATGGTCATTTTCCAGACATCTCTTAATTTAAGCCCCCATACTTCTTTTCATACAAAAACTTGTTTTTCTTAATCACTTCCCTAAGTTTTGATGATGTCATATGTCTGTTACCTATAATTTTTGTTATATACAAGACAGAGATAAAGGGAAACACTTACTTGTTGTTTCACTTTTTCTCAATAGATGCTAGTAACAAGAGTGTTTTAGGCATCAGCTGGAACTTCCTGCCACTGAACACTTACTAAGCAGAATATAACAGGTACAAAGGAAGACCCTGACTATTGCCGGGAGAGAAAGTTCAGAGAGAAAGAAAAATAAAACAAAGATAGATCTGTAGCGGAGGAAATTTGTTCAGCAGTTAGATTTTTATCTTTAGGCATTCTTGATTTATCTACAAGAAAGCAACATTTCAGCCCATTCAATTCACAAAGCAATATATGGAAGAGAAAATTCAAGCCGAGGTCCCTCAGTTGATAGCAGCGAATTTTACCATGAAGCTAAAAGCTTTACTATTTTCAACACAATGTACTCTCCCTAGGCAGCAGTAAGTCCCTTACTGCCATTTAGCTCAATTTAACAAAATATTATGTATCTGGAAGATTTGGACACTAGATACTTTAGGCTCCCAATTTGCAATAGTTTAAGCTATGAGTACGAGACTGCTTATCTCAAACTTAATTTCAGAAATATTTTTGCTTCTTCTGAATTTTTCAGTTTAACAAGAAAATATGCCTGCAGGAGTAAAGCATACCTATTACTAGAAATCAACAGTTAATGTAGATGCAATTACATTTATTTCTCTTGGAAAGAAGATACAAATCCTGTTCACCCCCCCCCCAGCTTTTCTTAAGCTAAGGACTGCTCCATGCTAGCACAGGATCTTTACTCATCACTATTTTTATCAGAATATCTGCATGCAATATTGATTTTTTTCATTATTCACTCATAACCATTTAAAGAACAACAAAACCCAACAGGATATTGCTTTCTCTCAAGTAGAAAGAAGCAGAGTAAATACAATTAGGTTTTAATTAAAAAGGATGTGGATTTGAGTCATTTATGATGCTAGCACTAAGTATTACCAATAATTAGAGCTCTGCTTTAATTATGTCCTTCCTAGAAATGACAGGATTAGATGCATTTATTGACTGCAAGCCATGGCTGAAGAAGGACAAGAGACCGGCAGCACTTAGTGAAATTTACATCCATAGATGTAAATAAGGATAAGGCAGAATGAGAACATGAACATGCGTATTAGGAAACAAAACCACCCTGATTCTATTAAGTGGGTTTCAAAATATCTGGGGGGACAGACACTCAGGCTACAGTTTCATCCCAGGTTCAGAAAATTCATAGACACATCACAAATTTGCCTGATCTCTAGGCACTCCCCTTGTTTCAAGTACTTAAGAACATCAACTTTTTCAGTAAAATTTTAACACTTTTCCCTTGAACAGCAAAGTTAATCAGTTATACACTTTCCGCTTCCTTACAAGCATGAAGGTGACTTCATTTACAACTTAGAAAATATCAAGAGTCCCAGTATTGCTGTTGGACTATTCAGGTCAATGTTTCTCAACACATGACCTGCAAAAGGAGAAAGGCATTCTCACTCATACAAGCAAGCCAATAATCTGTGGGAAAATTAAAGTGAAAATCTGGATTTTAGCTCATAAAAATTGTAATTAATTGCATTCTTATAGCAATTGCTGGGTGAACAGTTGAGATAGCCTTACACAGGGGCATGGACTTCACAAAGTATGAAACAAGAATTAATTTTATCATCAACTAGATTACTTTTATGTTGCCAGATCTTCGTATAGTGGAACAAGACTATTCCAAAAACAGTACTTCCTTTTTACATCAGCAGTATGCTATACCATGAAAAAATACCCTAAGTGTACACATTTGGTTTTTTTCAGGATTATCCCTGAATTACAAATACAAGTCAAGACCATGTATTCTAGTCGAGTTTTCTGGAAATTAGGTAGATGTGACAAAGAGAAAGCTAATCATGTGATTAATGGAACAGACATGCATGACAACCAGGAGATTGCTTGTAATTATTCTGGATGCAAACAGTACACATGAAGCAAGGACCTATTATGCCAGGCAATGTACAAGGACAAACTTCCCTAGCAACAAACACAATTAGGTTAATAAATTAATGCCTCCAGCCCACCTGTAACTGTTCATCATTCCTCTTTCTCTTTCCTAGCTTCACCCTTTCTCAACACGCTTCGCCTGCTGATTACAGAGCAACATCTGCAGTTGTTCCCTAACCGAGCTCTATCAAAATTATCTAGGCAGTTTTAAACATTTGTTTAAATTTAGATAATTTTAAAAGGCTCAGGTTCAGGAACGACTTCAGCCAATCTAAAAAAGGAGCAATCTATTGCAGGAAGTGACAATGGTGACAATGAGCATAGGACAGATCCTCAGATGGCCTTAGAATAAAGTATTTTATTAATCTTCATTTATTATTTCTGTACTGTTGAGTTCCTAATCAGTATAGAGCATATTTCCCTCATTCCTATTCTGTTTAGAATGCAAAACATTTAAGGCAGAGACAATCTGTTACTACGATGTTATAAAAACAACTTAAAATATAGGCAGGGCATCTACAGATTACAAATAACTTGCACTTATCATGGTAAATGTATGTTAAATTGGTGTTTGTAACTACTACATAAGGATTTCTATATGGAGCTAAAGGACAATATCCTATCCAAAAGACATTAAACCTACATTACTTGTATAAAATGACAATATTCTAGACATTCTTCAGTTTCAGTGGCACCACATCGGCACAAGTTCTTAATACAGCTCCTGTCCTAAAGAACATGCAGTCTAGAGCAATAAGTATTGCTGTCCAAGCTAAAGTTGAGGGTGGAGAAAAGAGTGTTTGTATGACAAGAAGTGATTGTACCAGGTTTTCATTATTTTAAATACGCATTGGTCAGTACTGAACAGTCCCAACACTGGGTAGGACTGAGTTTCGTACTCACCTTTTGCTTAAAGTAAATCTTTAAGATTATCTTTAACATAACTGCCACTTCTCAAAAAAGCCAGCAAGTCCATTCAAACTCAACCCCCCCGAAACCCTTTACCAAAAAACCAGATGCTGTGTATGACTAGCAAATTGCATTTTTTTTCTATCTTCCTCTTCATTTAAAAACAAAGTAGTTGCAACCTACATTTCAAAAATTGGTCTGTACAGTCATTTAAAATTTTTATGTCATTTCTCGACAAGCCAATTGATTATAGATGTACTACAACCATGAGCTTCAAACCACAATTGTTAGCACTTTACTTATATTGACATGTCAAGGTTCCCTGCTGTTATAAAAATATAAAGCTTAACAGAACCATTCCAGTTTTACTCCCATTAAATCAATTTAATTTGGATTCTCCAATTATCTAAAGATAATTTCAGAAGTTTCCTCTGTGATATTTTTCACTTTAAGGCAAAAAGATTCTGGGATCCATGACTGCAAAACAATAACTGCCTTGTCTAATGGTAATTATACACTTTAGTGCCACACTACATAGCCTTTGATACCCTTTTGTCCAGTAAATACCAAATAAAATTATTAGTCAAATATGTGTATTTATCTTTCAAAAATATATTTAGAAAAGTTTGGGGAGCATTAAAATATATG